ATTTTTTGAAAAAAAAATTATTTATTTTTTTTTATTTTTTTATTTTTTTTCAAGCCCAAAGGGTCTATTGAGACTTGACTGAGTAATCTGCCTCGGCTAGAGGCGAGTCCTAGCACACTCCAAAAACAAAGGATGGCCTAGTAATTTGTGAATTAAGAAATCATACTTTCAGCATAACTCATTTCTTAGACCAAAAAGCTAGTCTGAATCGATTTAATGGGACTCAATGGTGAAATGGGATTCGTTTATGTGACGAAAAAGCTAGTCATAAGGGTTTTAGTTCACAGATTTATCAACTTTTTTATTTGATTTTTATTTTTGTTTTAATTTTTTTTTATGGTGTGGGTCGGTGCTTGGTGGGTTTGTAACCCTTTAAGATACAGTTTCACCAAGTAGACTTACATATTTTCACTTACGGTCAATAACATTATTTGTTAGAGAAGTCATTAGATGCGGAAAGATTAAGAACTGGTTTTATGTGGATTTCACTTGAGTTTTTATGAACGGAAAGATGCCCTCAACTCATCATAATCATCACTATCATCATCCGAGCCTTATTCTAACTATTTAAAGTCGACTATATGAATTCTGTTTCACCATTTCACTCAATCAATGGACATATTCTCAGTTAGACCACAAGTCACCATATCTCTTCTCACAACTTCCATCCATATCTTTTTAGGCCTTCTGTTTGCCCAGTTAGAGCCTTCCATTTGAACCAGATTGCTCCTCCTAACTGTGAAGAGTCTCAAGTTTATCTTAAGAGACTCAAGATTCATTAATCATATGAATATATAAACTTGTCTTTTATAGATAAATTATATATAACCAGAATAGAAATAAATCACAGATTCTTATCCTATACCCACACTTACCATAAAGACAATACGTTTATTATATATTAAGCGAGAGGACTACACCATTTATTCTTTCAGCATGTGTCCCACGATATTAAAAACTCTCTCTTCCCCACATCTCTATCATGCTCATACATATCATCTCATGCCTTCTATCTCCCCCACATCTTTCTCATGCCCATACATGTCATCTCATGCCCATCCCTCTTATTTCTCATCTCATTCTTTCTCTTCCTTTAATCATCCATCTTCACTCTCTATTTCTTAATAACTCCAAGCCCCCACATTTCTCTCTCTTCTCTCCTCCCCATATCAATCTCTCTCTCTTCTCTCCTCCCATATTAATCGCTTTCCCCTTTCTCTTCTCTGGATATTTACTATCTCTCTTTTAATTTCTTTTAATTTATTCTTTTCCGCATCTCCCTCCCACATTTAGTCTCTCTCTTCCTCCTACATACATAAAAAGCCATAAATATAAATACCTCTTGTTTAATGTAGACATAAATATAGGCAACTTTCGTTTTAGTGTAATGTTTTTATATAACTCTCTTCCTCCTACATGCATAAAAATGCATAAATATAAGTAACTCTTTCTTTAGTTTTTATGTAACTCCTTTTTTAATATGATGTCTTTCTATCTCTCTTTTTCTATTTTATTTACTCTCTTTACCTCCCACTTTTCTCTCTCCTCTCTACTTAATTTACTCTCTACCTCCCACGTTTCTCTCTCCCTCCCACCTTTTTCTCTTCTACCATGTAACAAGCCATTCATGTCTCTCTACCTCCCACTTTTCTCTCTCCCACTATTTATCAAGTAATTAATGTCTCTTTAAGTCATATCTCCTTCATTAGATATCTCCTATAACCTCTCTTCTTTGCCGGTGATATCTCCCTCAAATATCTCCCTCAATATCTCCCTCTCTATCCCTTTACGAAAAACTTTTTCTCTCCCGTAATTTCTCTTCTCTCTTGTTCATCTCTCCATCCTTAAAAATTTCTCTCTCAATCTCTCCATTCTAAAACCTCTTTGAACAACATCTCCTATCATATCCCACTTAAAAGGTTAAAACCCACATGGTCCCAACCCAAAAACCTGTCACGCCCAAACTTATCTTATGAGGAATCTCTCTTTCTCATCCTAGCACTCTCTCTAGCAGTTTTTTTGTTAGAAATATTTTTCTAAATGAAAGACAAAAGATATATTATCCATGTGTATAATATATATATATATATATATATATATTTCAAGTTATAAAGTAGTTTTTTAATTACAGCAAATAAGTGGTTTGAGCTGTCTGACCCTTTATATATCTCTCTATTATTTTTTAATATTATTGTTGTTGTTGTTGTTGTTGTTATTATTGTTTTATTGAATCATTTTATTTTATTTATTTAAGGGAAAAGTTTATATAGAGTCTGAGCTCTAAACAATTAAATTAGAGCCTACCCCAAAACGTTCACTAGAAGAGGTTGTTTTGATACCCAAATATCCTCAAATTGATCATCTCGACATCAAGATGCATGGACATTAGAAAAAAAAATGAATCTCAAGTTTGGGAAATAGTGCATCTTGCGACGCATTTTTCGACTGTCGATTTTTAAGATTTTCAAGTTTTCATAGATCTGCTTGATGTACACTTTGTTTATGCTTTAAATTTTATAACTAAAGATGGAAATATAATTTTAGGCTATCATAAAACTTTTCAGCATTGAAACTGTATGTTTTTTATACTATCGAAATGTGGGCTCTAATTTGATTGTTTAGAGCCTCGGCTCTATACAAACCGCACCCTTATTTTTATATTACTCTTTCTTCTAGCTTTCTCGTGCTATTTTTCAAATGGATCATGCCTCTTCTGGTCTCTCTATTGGGAAGTAAAAAATTAATTATTTTTTCTTTTCGATTCTTATGTTAAATGATAAATCAATTTATTTTCATCTCAACTTTTTCCCTTATATGTATTTTAAATTTCTTATGACTATTTGAATATTAAATTTCTTTTGTAACTGCAATAGTATATTTCTAGCAAAAATATATGTGATGAAGTATATATAAAATTTAATTCTATTTTTGGAAGATACTTGAGTAATTTTTATTTTTTAATTATGAATTTTGATCACATCTCCTCTAGCGTTCTCTCACTATTTTTCATATGCACTATATCAATTTTTATTTCTCTATTTAAAATAGCATATAAATTTTTCGTCTTCCTATAATCGTATTTTACCACAAATATTACACTTGAATTATTTATTTATTACATAGTTTTTAAAAAATCATAATTATTTCATAAAGTTATTCAATAGTGAGGATAAATTAATTGATCTCTAAGACCATGTTTTATTAAAAATATTTTTCAATGATAAACATGTTTCCGTGATTTATATTAAACATCACGTGCAACGCACGTGCCTATTACTAGATAGACATATACATATTACAATATACGCCTTCCATATTAACCTGATAGACAATATATACTTTTATTTCACACTTTCCCTCAAACTCAAGATGCTATGAGAGAGAGCAGCTAGAGTTTGAGCACCAATTACGAAAACGAACAGTTGGAGCTTCAGGTGCATAGTGTGGCCAGTAGAAGCAGTGATCTCCATGCTCAAATTGCTTGATCAACAAGCGAAAATGAGCAATTGGATCAACAAGCCTCAGAAACATGAGGCTCAAATAGAGCAGATATGACTAGCAACGGATCAACAAGCCTCAGGAATAGATGGCCTCAGGAATAGACGGCCATATCAGAATAGGCTCTCTCAATCAAACAAAATTCAAGAATTCCAGGCCTTCACCAGAGACAGAAAAGCAGTCGAGACAACTGAGAAAACAGAATGGCACTTGGAAGAGCCAACAGAACTCAGTGCATATCAAAATGATACCTGGAAGAACCAACAGAACTCGGTGTATGTCAGAGACAGGTTCGACAACTTGCAAACCAGAATTTATGATCGAGTAATAGAAAACTCGATCATACAGAAAAGATCATAACACCAAAACACGATAGGCCACTAGAGGATACAAACGAACCACAGATGGCAGAAGCAGAAGATCTCAAGCACAGACGACAAAGGCTTGCAGTGACGAATTTTTTTTTTTTGAACGAAATTTCAAAGGGTTATCTTCAAGTTGAGTTTGAGAGGGTCAATTTGGAACTTAGTGCAAAAGTTGAACTTCTGAACTTAGGAATCAGGCTTGGGTCAAGGTAGTAGTAGCTAGGTCTTCATAGCATTATATCTCAAGTTCCATTACTATGTAACCCTGTCCAAAAAAAAAAATCTTGGAACTTTCTAAATACATCAACTTTTTTATATTTTGGGCAGTCCAAAAGGTGGATCTTCAAACCACCAAAACACATGTTTAAGGCAGTCGGACTTTTGAATGTTTCAAACACGTCAGTTTTTTAGTGTTTCAAGCGGTACAAAAGTTAAGACTTTGGAACTGAAGAAGAAAACTAAAAAATGTAGGACATCATTATGTCCCAAAATATGGATCATGTGATAATACTCATCTTTTTTTTGGGTCTATATGAAATTTTTATTGTTCTCGTCCAGACACAATCATGACTCCAGCATATTGTAAAAATCTCAAACTTATTTCTAGATAATTTTTGTTCTTTTTCTTATACAATTGTGGGGCGCTTGTGATCCCCAAAGGAAATGGATTGGGAATCAAAGTCTCCGGCTTCATGTATAGTTCCAATCTTACAAGAACTTAAAAATTGAAACCTGTAACAGAATGTTACTAAGTTGTGTTCTAGTAGTGACATAGTGTTTAGGTCAACAAAATGGAAGCACCCACTTACTGTTATGACATATTGCACCAATAGACATGATCTCACACAATTATGACATATAACAATTATGACATAATGTGCCTCTCTCTCTCTCTCTAGACACATGCATAAAATATAGTCTCTTAGCCTAGGGAGTTATAGTGCAGTCATGGTCACAATAACCATTGTTTCCTTGTAGACATACCAAATAATGAGAATTCCAGCCTCTCTGGTCAAAAACACGAGAAGCAAATACCCCTGACATTTTCAAACAATGGTAGCAAGTGGTAGGTGCAACCGTGGCTGCACTATACTTATGATATAACCCCAGTAATTAAACAAAAGTAAGAAAAGCAAGAAATCAAAATAACAACTATCATTCATGTTTCTTTAAGGTATTCTGTAACCTCATTAAAATTTACACTTAATTATTCACAGTGGAAACCTTTGATCCACGGTATTCAGAAAATAAGACCCGGTCATAAGCCTTAGGTATTAACAGTAATTGAGAATTCACAGAACGCCATCCTATTATCTCCAAGGACAAAAGATACCAATATTTTTCTTCAATTCCAAATTGTGGGCTTTGAGGTGGAGAGAAATCATAGTCATAATCCATTCCACAAAGACTCAATATCCATTGGAGCAGAAGGGTTTGCATTGAAAGTAGGCTCTGGGGTGGCCAAACCGGGAGCAATTACCCCGCCATTGTTTGCTCCAACTTGTTGGTAACTGTTCATCATATTGAGCTGGAGAGCTCGCAATATCGAATTTGAAGTAGGAAAATTTAGGTTAAGTAAGCTGGGTGGCTGCACTGGATTGTCTCTCTTAAAGAGCCAGTTCATATTCATGCTCATATTAGGGTTCAACTGAGCCCCAATTGGGTTATTGCCACTAGTGCTATTAATGTTAATATGGCTATTATTGTTAGTGTTACTGAAGCTTTGAGAGCTAGAAACCAGCCTGTTTAGCTCTGATATATTCTCATTTGGCTGGCTAAAACAGTCACTATCCAAAGAACCCATATCTCCAGGCTCAGTAATGATGGCGGTATTATCACAAGGAGCTGAATTGGTTGCATGTTGTTTTTTCCCACCTGAGCTCTTCTGAAAAACCCTAGAAACCACCCATTCATCCTGCAACAAAAAAACAAGAAATAGCTATCAATGCCGAAAACTGAGGTAATGGTGCAATTCGGTGGTTTGGGTAAAATGGGGTTGTGAATGAATACCTTGGAGGGTCTTGAAACAAACTTGGTTTGGAGCCTGTATTCATGCATAACCCAATTGGTTTTCTCTCCCTTTGGTGCCCTACCCTTGTAGAAAACTAGGGTTTTCTTCATTCCGACGAGGACGCCCGAGTTGAAGATCTCTTTGTCTTTGCCTGTGGTTTTCCAATAACCAGCATCAGTGGCGCGGTTTGTTCTAAGGCCAGTTGGGTACTTTCTATCTCTGAGGCTGAAGAAATACCACTCTTTCTCACCCATGGTCGCCTTTCCTGCAACACCATAAGAAATGACCAGAATCAGAAGAGCAATCAAACACTTCAAACCAAAACCCTAAAACTCATTAATTGATTAGATGTCTTTGAAACCACTCTTGAAACTAAACCATTTAATTCTGGATTGATAGGGATAAATATGCTTTGACCTAGAAAACAACATATTTTCAACAGCCAAATTCCTAAAACCACTACCTATCATCATGAAAAGTCAAAAATCACTTAATAATACCATATGTGAAACTACTCTTGGCATAAAACCCATCTGAATTTTAGTTTCAAGGTAAAATTAGAAACCTGACATCGTCAAAACTCAAACCAAAACCTTGAAACCACTACCCATAATAATGGTACAAAGTGGATTAACCCTTTAATCCCAAAACCCTCAAAATGCTATTCATACTTAACTTAAACTAATATTAACATAAAGCTAATCAAGAGAAAAAGGTAAAACACATGAAACCGCTACATTTCATCACAGTGCAATTCTGATGCTACCTGAAGAACCACCTACACCAAAACCCTAGGGAAAAATATGATACACTCCAAAGATGCATCGCGTACGGTACACCGCAAGGAAATCCACTTCTATACCCTTAAACAGGCGACGGTGATGAACGGGATCGAATGCTCCTTTTCGTGAGAATTTTATCTCCATCGCCAATTTAAGGGAACGGATGGTGGATGATCCTGTGGTGCACCATGTGATACAGACCAATGGTGTATGTACTGTCCAGATCCGCAAAACCATAATATCAAAAAAACCAAACCAAAAGCGCTTTCTAGCGTGTACTAAACTGGGTTTGCAAATAAACACACTTTCAGATAAATCCATTGAAACCACCAGTAAAACCAACTCTTTACCTAAAATTAAGAAACCCACAATTAAAAATCTACAACTCTCGAAGACAGTGGAAGAAGATGTACAACCAGGAAGGTCCCATGGCTCGGATTTATTGAGATCGACATCAGCGATTGCTCTTGCTCGAAAACTTCTATCGGAGACCTTGCGAGCGAGATAGAAAGTAATCAGCTCTTCATCAGTGGGGTGGAATCGAAAACCAGGGGGCAAGCTCCCCTCCATCCTAGCAAATTTAGAATCTCAGTCCCTTGCACCCCAAATAACTTTAATGTTTAAGTGCAAATCTACATGTACTTGCACCAAAAGCGGCAAAAAGTTCAGGTCATTACTGAAGAAATCGAGCAAAGGAATCAAATAATGGAATTGGATATTTATTGGGCTTTGCTATAGAGAGAGAGGGGGGGGAATCGTGAATCAGAAGGAAACGGTCTCTTTGATTTTATTTGAGGGGTGATTTATAAATATAATTTAATTTTTAGTCTAACCAAGGGAAAAAAAATGTTCTTGTGAACTCCATGAAGAAATGAGAGAGTGGGGGGCCAGTTTTGTAGAAATCTCCTCAACTAACCTGCACCCTTTCTCAAGCCTTACACCAGGGTTCAGCGGGGTGGTGGCCAATGAATAATTTACACGTGTCAAAAGAAGCCAGATAAGCCTAGTGGACGTAGGCATAATGGCGCCCACCCCTTGTTTGCCCATGTCACAATATTGAGGCCTTAGATTGATAGTTCGTTTTTTATTTCTGAAAATGACAATAAATATGAATATTATTGGTCGTATTATAATTGTTATCGTCGTTTTCACTTTATCCTTATCAATGTGGACAGAAAATTAGAAAAATATTACATGTGTGAACAAAATCATAGATAGAGAGAACAAAATCATAGATAGAGGGGGGGAGAGAGATGTTACACTCAATAATTTTCTTAGTTATATTAATGGGTCGGGCCAGCATTGGCCCATGCCCCGCTCTTGTTCTCATAGGGCTAGGGCTGGAAACGGGGGATGGGTACGAGATGGGTCTGGCTGGATCAGGACCCAGACCCGAATAGTATTTGGGTCCAGGTTTTAGACCCAGACCGGACCCATATTTGTACCTATCGGGGTCCCAAGTCTACCTACCGCGTCTCGGGTCTGGTCGGGTCCATTGCCATCCTATGACTATGAGCTTATTGTTTTTTTTTTTTTTTGCCTTTTTTTTTTAACCATAATATACAAATAATATTGGCAACAAGGTCACAAGCAAGAATTCACAATCACCCACCATTAGATTTCAAGCCGCCTGATTTGTCATTTAATAGCTAAAACTGACTAGGAGTTCTTATTGTATATGATTCTAATACACCCAAATTAATAGGGATTAAAGTAAAGTATCTTATCTCCAACGGTTTACTAGCATTGGTTGGATATGGGTCGGGTAAAAAAATTGGACCTATACGCGGACTTGAGGTCGGGACTACCCATTGGGTCTCGGATCTGGTTGGGTCCAATGCCACACCCCTACATATGGCTGGGCCAAAAGCGAGAGAGGTTTGAGCCTGGGCGAACCTAGTCCTAGCCCGGCTCTCCGGCCACAATTTTTTACCTTGGCCCTACCTTTTTTTACGGCCAGGCTGCTCGGCTCATTGCCAGCCCTACTAGGAATAATGAATAGTTTACTTAATTATTTCAGTAGTCACTTAATTTCTTCCTAAACCTTGTGGAATAGAATAACTTGCGCGTTCACAAGTATATATATATAAACACTGAGATTTTAATGTCTAAACGAATCCTAATTATATTAAAATGGGAATAAGACTTTGCCGCAATTTGGTGAATATAATAAGAGCGATGGTAAGTCATGAGGCGGCGAAGAGACCGAGAGAGGAAGCTTATTGTTAACGAGTGTTGGGGATGAGAGTCATGGAGGTAGGTTTGACATGGTGAGACTCTCTTTTCCTACTAACCCTAACCGTTACCATTAGCTATAGGAAAATGGTACCCTTCCAAGTACCCCAAGGCTCCTCTTTAGATTAGAAATGCCCCTCAGACTCATGGAAATATACCTAATGCCCTTATATCATATGAAACCCATTGGTGTTTTTCTAGTGAGAAAGAGAGGGTGACTGTTTGTTTGTACGTAAGTGTGTGAGAGAGATGAGCTTTGTTTACATTTCTTTTGTGTGAGAGAGAGGAGCTTTGTTTACATTTCTTTTGTGCATGTCTATTGATGAGAGAGTAAGTATAAATAAACTTTTTATGTGCTTTAATTGTAGCCTAACAAGAATAGGTAGGGCTAGCAACGGGCTAGGCGGTCCAACCCGGCACCGTTTGGCCCTAAATAAGTAACGCTTGGCCTGCCATCCTAGTTTGACTGGCCTAGCCCTCTCCACTTTTTCTTTTTTTTCAATTTGTTTTCAGCCTGGCCTAAGGGTTATCACTTGTTGTCACCGTAAAAGACTCGAATAGCCAAACAACCAAAAGTTGGGACCGTTTCCATCTCACCCCTCTTAAAACTTGCGCAGGTGGGACCATTACCACGTTACCGCCCTACTTTTCAGCTTGGTCTGTCCTTGTAAGGACAAAAGCTAGGCCGGGCTAGAGCCAATGGTGGCCTTGGCCCAGACCGACCGGGCCCTTTGGCACCCTTGAGAATAAGAGCAACTAAGATCGGGGAATATTGGTCACATATTCAAGATCTCACACCCTAACCCAGTGTTGAAGGGTATTTCTAGATATTAGAGTACAAATACAAGTGGAGTTTCGGTACCCTCGAAGAATGGGTAAATACGCCACCCACCGACAGGCCAACAAAAATGCACTATTCTTAATTTTTTGCGGTTGACACAATCCCCTCCCCCTCCCTCTCTCTCTATCTAAGAACCAGTAATTTCTAGCTAATACCACAATCCCCTCCCCCTCCCTCTCTCTCTCTCTAAGAACCAGTAATTTCTAGCTAATATCTCTCTATCGAATAGAGTAGTTTCTTGGTACAAGGTATTCTTAATTTTTTGACACAATCCCCTCCCCCTCCCTCTCTCTCTTTAAGAACCAGCTATTTCTAGCTAATATCTCTCTATCGAATAGAATAGTTTCTTGGTACAAGGTTTTCCTTGTCTTGGTCTTTCTTCTTGTCTTCTTGCATGCCATTAAAAAAAAACGAACCACTAATTTCTATCGTTTCTAGAAGTGCTCCTTCGCACTTACACATTGCCTTCTTTCAAAAAAAAAAAAAAATTCTATCAAAAAAACGAAATAGAAGTACTCCCAAGTATTTAATGAAAAGCTTGAAGCTTTACAACTATATGTTTATACTGAGTCATGCTTAAATTTTTCGAGATCATTTCTCTTTTGATATTTGATTCTTTCAATATTTGCCCTTTCAATATTTATTGTTTAAAATCTTGTCCATATGTTTGAGTTCTTCCTATACATTTTGGGTAGGTAAGCTTGGTTTAACCCACAGCGCTGTGGTCGCAAAAGCAACCAAAAGATCTCCTTGAAGACTAATTCATTGGCGAAGGTCTTTGCCAATATTTTAAGGATATCATCATGGGCTTTTCAAAAAAATTGAATGGTAATTCAAGGCAACAAATGTTGCTAGGAAACCCAACACCACACCCTTACCCCCAATCCTATAGGTTTCCCTTCTTCTATTTTTCCACCGGTGAAGGAAAGCACGACTCGGCCCAGGGCCCAAGTTGGGTAGGTCCTGCCCAGGTTAAAAAGTGTTAAAAAATCAAATATACAAAATATACAAAATAAAATATGTTTAAAATAAAAATAAACAAAACACAGGTTAAAAAAAGTAGATTTTGAAAAAAATCAATTTGGAACCAGGGGTATTTCATAAAAGACACGGTTTTAATGAGTCCATATAAAAATGACTCTTAATAATCTATTCTTGCAATGGATTTATGGACCCAATTTTTAAGAATATATAATCTTTAACATGAAGTTCATTAATATGAAAAATAATTAAATTTAAAAAATAAAAATAATAATTTCATGAAAAAAATATTTGAAAGGTTAGTTTCAACTGCTTTAGATGAACCACCCATTTGCAAGTTAGCATACTCGGGCACACCATGCTTGTGAGCCCGAGTTCCTCCGGCGTGTCCGCGCTGGCTCGCCCCAGAGTAGTCTAATACTATTTTTTAACTTTCTTTCACCTATGTATCTCCTCTGTCACTGCTACTCGTCTTTTATCTTGTTCCCAATACAAACACGACGCACGAATGTCTCTCTTTAAAAATTAAAAAAAAAAAGACTCTCTCTTTAAAAAGAGAAATAGCTCAAGGAGTATTCTGTACATATATCCCCTTCATAGAATATCTACAAGGAAGACTTTTTTTGGATTTGAAATTTTAAAATCCACTACGATATATTCTAATATATATAATGTCGTGGGAGGTCGAAGCGACACGAGGGGTATAGGGTG